TATAGAGAGCGGGTATAGGAGCAGTTAGAGGAGGAGTTATAGGGAGCGGGTATAGGAGTGTGACGAGACCAATCTCGCCACATTACATTGGAGAAGCCTGGTTGCTCGCCTGCTGCCTTTGGACTATGGCCCCTTTTGAAAGACTTTATTTTGCCTGCAGAAAAGCTGTATTCGTGCTTTTCTGCCGGTTGTTCGGTAGTTTCAATCTACCGAACAACCGCACGAATGAATAGACCACCTGGGAGCTGGAGTGTGCCGGCAATTAACCTCCCTGAAGCTGCGGTTAACCGCAGCTTAATTGATGAATGCTGGGTGGCCGCCATTCGTATCCCGAACACGAGGTCGCGGCCATTTTAAAACATATGAATGCTCAGCGGTGTTCGCCTCTATTTTCATGGAACTAAAATCGGACACAGTTTTGCGCGAACACCGCTGAAGCCGCCAACCTCCCTTCTTGTTCGGTGGAAGTGCACGAACGGCCCGGTGTTCGGTATTTTTGTTCGAATGTATTATACCCCAGATAGGAATCCCATGGAGCCCATTCGTATGAAACTGACTGTGTAAAGACTTTAGCTCCATGGCAATTAAACTGTATTCGTGTGGTCTGAGTGCCATTCACCTAATAATGTGCACTCAGACCTGAGCTATCTGGGGATATGTTACATGTCTGTGTTTTGTGTAATAAATGTTACATTATGTATTTTAAAGTATAATGCTGGTTTTGTGTCTCCACGTGTGTAATGGAGTTTTGCCTTTGTCTTGGGAGATAATTGAGTTACTTCCCAGTTATCTCCCAGGGCAGAGGGGAGGAAGCCAGGATGCATTGTGGGAATATACTGTGACTGTGTGTCCTATTTGTCTACTTGTCTGTCCCTTGTCACAGTCTCCCATTTGGTCCCCTAGGGGAGTGTCCACCAGGTGGGAGACCTGCATAAAAGCCGGGCAGGTAGCCCTCATTAAACAGATCTTCTTGACCCTCTAACTTGCAGCCTTGACTCATGTTTGTAGGGGACAGCTATAATCACTACAGGGATTGCTATGCTCTTCATACTCCCTTAGCTACTGAGCTCTGGTAAGAGCTCTTGTTCCTGATCCTGCTTCGCTCTGCAGAAGGAAGAGGTTCACCTACTGCAACCTGGAGCCTGGTCATGGGTCCAGGGCACAGAGCAGACGGCGAGATACCAGCCCAGCAGCGGTGGTTCGTGGAGTCTGCAGTACTTCTGGTGGCTACGCAGTAGTTATGGTGTCTACGGTGCTGATGGTCCTTTGGTGAGCGCTAGGAGCATCCTTTTCTACGGTCCAACTTCCAGCCAGCCTGGAGGCAACCGTAACATTTGGTGGCAGTGGTGGGATGGCGTCCTAGCGCAAGGAGCAGCACCCCAACAGCACTGGTATCGTATGAGAGAGTATTGAGGGCAACGCTAGCCACTGCGCAGCGTCCCTACCTAGAGCAGCATGGAGCCAGCAAGTCCGTGCACAGCAGCCGAAATGGAGGAGAGGTTCCTCGACAGATTGCATGGCTTCCTATCCTGGAAAGATGGGGCAGTCTCAGAAGGGGAGATGTGTGGGTACAGAAGTGAGGCCAGAGCCGAGCTGTGGGAAGAAGCCCTACAGGAAGTTCAGCGTTGGCGAGGTGATCGTAGAATCAGCAGAGGGCAGCAAATCCAGGCTCGAATGGCAGAGCGGATGCCCCTCCTGGGCAAACAACCCCTTCCAGTGTGGGTGACTAAACTAGAGGATCTAGTATACAGCGAACTGTGGCTCGACAACGCATACCAGGCGCTACAGTGGTACGCGACTCAGCTTGTTCCAGAGATGGCTGAGTATGAATTCCCTGAGTGTGGGGATTACAATGGCCCTGATCTATTCTGGGAGAATATGGACGATGATGACTTTGGAAGGGCTACAGACTCACGCTTCTGGGACCTGTATGATGACCGGGAAGACAAGCTGGGACTCCCTAGAGCTATTGGCCTGGAGGCAGACCTGCAGTATCTAGTCACCCAGGAATGTGACATAGAGTGGAAGTACCAACACATCATCCAGGGGTCCCGGGAAGCGACAACCCGTCCCCTTCCTGAACAGCATCCAGAGTTCCCCCAAGAGAGCACAGCAGCAGAGCCAGATCGAGGGTCCTTCAGCTGGAAGGATATCGTAGAGGTATACTGGGAGGAACCTCTGATGGCAGGTAGAGATGGGACCGAGGTCTCTCTACAGGCCCTACAGGGATGCTGGGCAGTCGGCCCAGATCCCCAACCCCTGGGTGAGTTACAGGGAGCGGAGAGCATCGACCTCCCTCCCCAGCGGCAGCCTGAGTTACAGGGAGAGGAGAGCAGCGACCTCCCTCCCCAGCGGCAGTGCACCGTGCAGAGGGAAGAGGCAACCCGTCTCCTTCCCCAGCCACAACCAGAGGTACCCGAGGCAGCAGACCTCATAGACTGGTCCTGGGAGGACCCCCAACAGGCAGGTGAAGATGGGACCGTAGTCTCTCTACCGGCCCTACAGGGATGCTGGGTAGGCGGCCCAGATCCCCAGCGGCAGACCCAGCTACAGGGAGAGGAGAGCATCGACCTCTCTCCCCAGCGGCAGCTTAATGTACCCGGGGGAGACAGTATTTTATTTTATTTAGTTTGTAAAATGCTTCCAAAATTAAACAGAATAACAAAATAAATAACAAAATAACAATAATAAACAATCAACTGAAATAATGCCCAATTCAAACATAATACCAAATGAAACATAAATACCCCAAAATTAAACATAAATACCAAAATAAAAACTCAGGAAGGGGCACTAATAGGGGAGTAAACTTATACCAAATTAAATAACTGGGAATAACAGGGAGAGGGATTAACAGAAAAGGGGGAGGAACTAAATCATAAAGGGATAAATTAAAAGGCGGGGGGCTCCATTACTTCATGGAGCCTTGGGGAGGGAGAAAAAAGGCTGAAATGCTCCTGAAGGAGCTCTTACATAACAAGGGGGGGACAAGGGGGGACCCAATTGACCTCGAGTCCACAGCCAGCTAAACACAAACATAAACCAAGCGTGAAATAAAACACACACACATAAACATAAACAAACCCATTACCCACATGGAGTCCTTTTCTCAGTTCATAAAACCCACCAACCACATGGAGTCCATCCCTCCGTCCATCAACACCAACCCACCACCTACACTTTAAACCCAAACTTTAAACCCAAACCCACCACCCAAATGGAGTCCATTTTCAATTCATAAAACCCACCACCCACATGGAGTCTATCCCTCCGTCCATCCCCCAAACCCACCACCCAAATGGAGTCCTTTTCTCAGTTCATCACATCCAAACCCACCACCCACATGAAATCAAAATTTTGTCCATAGACCCACCACCCACATGAAATCCAGTTTGTACACCACCCTCAAGGAGTCCATCCCTCCGTCCATAAAGAAACCCAGTGTTTTTTTTTTGTTTTTTTTTCCCACCCAAAGTAAATTTTTCAATTTGTCCATACACCAGAAACCCACCCTAACCCAAACAATACTGTGACGAGACCAATCTCGCCACATTGCATTGGAGAAGCCTGGTTGCTCGCCTGCTGCCTTTGGACTATGGCCCCCTTTTAAAAGACTTTATTTTTGCCTGCAGAAAAGCTGTATTCGTGCTTTTCTGCCTGGGGTTCAGTAGATTTGTTTGAATGTGTTATACCCCAGATAGGAATCCCATGGAGACCATTTGTATGAAACTGACTGTAAAGACTTTGGCTCCATGGCGATTAAACTGTATTCGTGTGGTCTGAGTGCCATTCACTTAATAATGTGCGCTCAGACCTGAGCTATCTGGGGATATGTGAAATGTCTGTGTGTTATGTGTAAAATGTGACTTTATGTATTTTAAAGTGTTTTGTGTCTTTTGCAACCATGTGCTTAATGGAGTCTTGTGTCTGTCCTGGGAGATAATTGAATTACTTATCTCCAGGATAGAAGACTCTGAAACTGGTTTGGGCCAGAAAGCCATGCTTCATTTAGTCACAAGGACTTTTTACTAACTTTTGAACCCCTTGTCTGATTTGTGCCATTTTTGAATATGTTGTTCCCCTGAATGGATTGATTGTGAATATGTAATTTTATGTGAATGTGATGTATGGTTTAGAGTTATGAAAGTTGGGTAGAAAGTATGTTTTAACTGTATGTATAATTGAGTTTCCTCTCAGGATAAGGGGAGGGAATATGTGGGATGTAACTGTGATGTTATTGGTTGTTTTATACCTCCCTGTGGGCGGTCCTGTATTTGAAAACACTGTAATAAAAACCAGGCTGGGTGTGCCAGCACCTCAGACCACTGCTTGACCCTTAACACGGAGCCTTGTCTCGTTCTTGGGGGGATTCACTGTATGCTGTTAGAGACTGATTGCCAGGAGTGTAAGCTGTCTGCTTTTCCTGTTCGTCTGCTAGCAGCTATTTGGGAGGTTCCAGTTCGGGAGTTGGAGTGCTATTTTGTATCCAGTTTGGGAGTTTGATGTTCTGCAGTAGCTGTGCCTGTATCTCTGGAAAGGGGGCCGATCGCCTAAACGGTTTTTACCCCTTGTGTGCAAAACGGTCCGTTACAAATACCAAAAATAACCTGTGCATAACCATAACCATAACCTAACTACACTGCACTACCTAGACGCAGAGGAAGGTACTCGTCTGCTAAAGGTGGCAGCCTTCCATGAAAAGAAAAACCAGTTCAAAATCTACGGGGGAAAGGTGAAGACAGATTTGGAATTCCCTTCACCAAGACAAGGGCGCCCATGGAGCGGTTCAAGGCGGGTGGACCTTGAGATTTCGCCACAAACGCTGCCAAATGGTGGGATCCAAAAAGGCCCTTTCGGTGGTAAAGATCCCACGAACCGCCCTCAGAATGTCTGCTACCACCACCTGACAGGAAAGGTCTTTACGTTGAAGGGAAACCTGACACCTTGCCATCCAAGTGAAATACTTAACCACTGAACTGACTACATAAAGAGTGCCCAAATCAAAAGCCCGCCCCCTTGAGTTGGACGTCCCATACGCCCACTCCGCATAAGTCCAGCGGGATAAGCAGGGGATGCCTAAGGCGGCTGAGACCTCTTTGTAGACCTGTACGTTAAAGGGGCACTCGAGGAGGAAGTGGTCCATGGACTCCACTTCCCCGGAACATTCCACCCGAGGACAACCACGATCCGTTATGTTCCTGTACTTCAAGTTCCCTCGAACGTAAAGTCTACCGTGGAAGGAGAGAAACGCCACGTCTTGGTATTTCTCCGGAAGGCGCCTGGAGTTGATGTTTTTCAACCCCGAGACGAGAGTACTTGGCGGGCAGTCCTTCAAAGCAAGCTGAATGCCAAAGTGGGTGGCCAGGACCCTCCCGTCGAGAAGCTTCTTGGGAGTGTCCCGAACCTCCTCCACCGTGACGTTCCACCTGTGCAGAATTCCCACTCCCTCGATGACCGAAGACGGAAGATAGCTAGAATGCTGAACTCTCATGCTCTTCACCCTCCCACCCTGAAACCAGTCCACCAGGAAAGGTGTGACCCACTCCCTGAATATACATACCCAGCCAGGCTGCTCATCCTTCAGGAGAGCCCCAAAGTTCCTTTTCAGGAAGTTGTTAGTTAAAAAAACGATGGGGTTGACCATGGCCAGACCCCCGTCCTTTCTGGCCAGGTAAGTGACCTCTCTTTTGATGAGGTTCAGCCTGTTCCCCCACAACATGCGGAAGAACAGCGCAAACATCCGAGCGTGGAGGGACCTGGGCAAAAGGAAGATGTTACTGACGTAGCCGAATACGGCCAGAACATAGGTTTTGATTAGGTTCACCCGTTCTCTGAACGTCAGTTTCCACCTGTGGCTCTCCTCCACCTTGCTAGAAGCTATGGCAAGCCGTTCGGTCCAGTTCCTGAGAGCCAGATCCTCTGGTCCGAACACCACCCCCAAGATCTTAATTTCAGGCTGGGCCCTCGGGAAACCGTCTGGAAGAGGAAACTGGTCCCCCTCCTTCCCGCACCAGAAAACTACGCTCTTGTCCCTGTTGACACGAGAGGCTGAAGCGGCAGAATACGCTAGGATTAAATCATCCACCTCCGTGGCCTCCCGAGTATTGGAGACCACTATGGAGATGTCATCAGCGTAGGCAACATCCCGTAAAGGCCTCTCCGGAGCCCTGGCCACTCCCTGTAACGTGCCTGCCTCGACCCTTCGGATGAAGGGATCGACTGCAAACACGTACAAGAGTGGGCTGAGAGGACAGCCTTGCCTGACCCCGGATCGGATCCTAAACGCCCTGCCCCTCCACCCGTTCACAAGAGCGAAGCTTTCGGCCCCTCTGTACAAGGTGATTATCCAATTGACGAATTTTCCCGGCAAGCCATACTTCCGCAAGACTGACCACAGATAACGGTGATCTACTCGATCAAAAGCTTTGGACTGATCAAGTGCCAGAAGGTATATCCCCCTTTCTCCGTCCCTGCACTTCTCGAGGGCTTCCCTGACTTCGAAAATGGCATCAAAGACAGTTCTGCCCTCGATTGAACAGTACTGGGAGGTGGATAGGACACGCCTCGCTTTGCCCTGTACTCGTTTCATCAAAATCTTTGCCAGGACCTTCCTGTCGACATTTAACAGGGATATGGGGCGCCAGTTCCCCACATCCGCTGTGTCGAGCACGTTCGGCTTGGACAGCAAGATCAGGGCAGAAGTCCTCATCGAGGGTGGCCAAGCTCTCATTAAACACCTCGGTCAGATGAGGGGCCAAGAGGTCGCAGAACTGTTGGTAAAACTCGGCCGTCAGACCATCAGGACCTGGCGACTTACACTTGTTCTGCTGTTGGATACTCTCTGTGACCTCTTCTATGGTGATCTCGCTGACCAACTCGTCAAAAGAAAGGTCGCTATGCTCAGGGAGCCTGAGCTCGCTCAAGAAGTCATCCACCCTTCTCCCGTGGGAGGTTCCCTCCTCGCTACATTGGGGGCGGCCCTTTCCGAGGAGCTCAATATAGTAGTCGCGGACCACCTTCAGAATCCCGCGAGGAGACTCCTCTAGGGTCCCGTCGGTGCCCCGCAGACTAGGGATGGACTTGGTACCTTCCTTCCGCTTGCAGCTAAGATAAGGATAGGGCGAGCGGTATGACCCATGATCCCTCTCTTTTACAAGGGAGGCGTACCTGTCATACTGATAACTGGTCATAAGAGGGGCTTTGCCGCAAGCGGCCAACGTCAGACCGGCTGCTCCGCCTCCCGGAAGCAGCCGGGGAGACAGCCGCGCGGTGTGGGTCCGGAGGAGACAGGTAAGCTATCGTTACAGTACCCCCCCTAGAGAACCGCCCCCAGGGCGGGGAGGACTCAGCTTGCGAGTACGACGCCTAGTAAAGGAACGAACCAGGCGAGGGGCGTGTACATCTGAGGCATCCACCCACGAGGGCCGTTCCTCGGGGCCATACCCCTTCCAATCCAATAGATACTGGAGACGACCCTTAGAAATACGAGAGTCCAAAATAGATTTCACTTTGTATTCATTTTGACCTTCTACGAATGAGGAAGGAGGCCTTGAGGACCTTCGAGTATAATGGTTACAAATTAAAGGTTTAAGGAGAGAAACATGAAAATAATTGGGTATCTTCATATTAGCTGGCAAATCCAGGCGGTAACAGACTGGATTAATGCGCTTGAGGATTTTAAAAGGACCAATAAAACGTGGAGTGAATTTCATAGAGGGGACTTTTAATCTAATATTGCGCGTACTTAACCACACTCTATCCACTACCATAAAATTCGGAGCGGTCTTTTGCCGAATGTCCGCTTTACATTTCTGAGTTTCAGCCTTTTGAGTCAAGATACGTTTGACCCCTATCGAAGTTTCTTTCATATTCTTAATAGTGCAGTCATCGCTTTGCACTGCAGTAGATGAAAAGGAACTCGGAAGAGTAATAGGGTCAAAGCCATAATTTATATAAAAAGGACTATGCTGCGTAGAATCATGAACCCCGTTAATATGGGCAAATTCAGCCCACCGAAGTAATTCTACCCAATCATCTTGGTGATCGGAGGTGAAACAGGGAATGTACTGTTCGAGTGACTGATTCATCCTTTCTGTAATCCCATTAGATTGGGGATGATATGAAGAGGTGAGATTAAGCCTGATACCCAATTGATTACAGAATGCTCTCCAAAACCTGGAAATAAATTGGGGACCTCTGTCTGAAACTATATCCACGGATATACCGTGTAACCGAACTATCTCTCTTATGAACACCGTGGCCAGTTCGGAGGATGAAGGCAATTTAATTAAAGGGACAAGATGGGTCATTTTGGAAAATCTGTCGATGATAGTTAGAATTACCCTGTGGTTTTTGGAAGGAGGTAGATCCACTATGAAATCAATGGCTATACTAGACCAGGGTTTATCAGGAATAGGCAAAGGCATGAGGAGACCTAAAGGGCGACTCTTAGGAGACTTATTAGAGGAACAGATGTTACAGGCTAAAACAAATTCTCGGACATCTTTTTTGTAAGAGGGCCACCAAAATTGTTTTTCGAGTAATGATACCGTCTTATGGATACCGGGATGACCTGCAATCTTAGAGTCGTGTACTAAGGATAGGACAGATCTTCTGTAGATTAAAGGAACGTATAATTTTCCCTGAGGAATAGTGAGGGAGTTGTGATCCTGGTATTTGGATAGAGTTTCAATTATTTCAGAAGAGACTTTAGCATGAACTGTAGCTACCATGTGCGAGGCAGGAATTATCGAGCATAAATGAGTTACGGGAGGAGAAAGGTGTTCATGCTGTCGGGATAGGGCATCCGCTTTGGTATTCTTAGACCCGGGTCTATATGTCACAATGTAGTTAAAGCGTGTCAAAAACAAAGACCAACGAATCTGCCTGTCAGACATTCTTTACGCATCTCCAAAATATGAAGGATTTTTGTGATCGGTAAGAATTGTGATAGGTTCTGGTGACCCCTCTAATAGGTGACGCCATTCCTTGAGTGCGGAAATAATAGCCAACAGTTCTCTATCTCCTATGTCATATTTTCGTTCCGTTTCAGTAAATTTTTTAGAGAAATAACCACAGGGATGTAAGGGTTGATCATTCGAAGATCTCTGGGATAATACAGCCCCTACCCCTGTTTCTGAGGCATCTACCTCCAATATAAAGGGACGCTGTGGCAAACCTAGCCACTCGGACTATAACTGGACACTATGCCTTTAAGGGTTGCCTATAGGTCTGGGGAGAGAGACGTTGTAACTGTATGTGCCTGCTTCATGTATTCCCTGCATTGCCTGTACCTATCTGTTCCGCCGAATGCAAATGGCGGTTTGTATGGGGATTCCCGTTCGTTTCGCGAACGGCACTTTGGAGGGCCGTTCGTGAAACGAATGCGATACCCCCTAATAGCCCACGCACTTAGAGGCGTGTGGCGCTAGTTAACCGATTGCAACATTGTTGCAATCGGTTATTAGAGGCTCTCCTGGGTGGCCGTCGTTCGACTACCGACCATGCGGCGGTCGGCCATCTTGGATCCCTGGTTCTTCAGCGGGTCCGTGTTGTCGAACGCATAGCATTGCCAACAGTTATTCGATGGCACGAACACCGCTGAGCCTCCAGGACGTTCGGGAGTTTCAGGACCAGGTTCACTAAAAGCAATCGGTTCTTTTCGTGGGTTTTGAAAGAAATGTGTTTTCTGTGCGGCGTTCGGTTAGTTTAGCTGGGATCTGAGCGGCAATCTCACGAATGATGCGCCCAGACCCCAGCTATCTACCGAACGTCCATTCGTGTAAATCCACCGTATATTGTACCAGTTGTAGATTTTTGTGTGAATTGCCGGTTCTGCTGCACGAGGGGATAATCCCCTTAACGGTGCATTCTGGGAGGATGATCCCCCTCGTGCAGCGGTGCCTGATGGGAGAAATATGTGGTACTGTAAGTCCCCCATGTAGTCCCCTCCTGTACAACCCCTGTAATGTCAGTTTGGAAACCCCTTGCATGGGGAATTGCATAAATACTGTGACCTGTGATTAAAACCTCAGTTGACTCCCAGCCTATGTGTCGCCTAGTTCTTGGGAAGGAAGGGTTACTGCAGTGCTGTTTGGATTATTATATGCTGATTCCCTGGATTATCCTTTGTTGTTCCTGTTACCCAGCGGAGATATCGTGGATCATACTGCCTCTCCGCTACAATTGGTGGCAAGCGACGGGATTGAATTTACACAGCAAAGCAACGTTCGGCAGATTTTTAAACGAATCAAGGAACAAGAGTTCGGGAATCAGCGCATTCGAATAAACCTCACGAACAGCAGGTGAATGGGAACAGATTACACCCTGCTAAAACAGAGCACATTAAAGGAGCTGCTGGAAGCAAGAGGAGCAATCGCCAGTAACAAGGCAAAGGCTGTCCTAATTACGGAGCTCATGGAAGGAGACAGAGCCGCAGCTGCTGCAGCACCTCAAATGGAGGGACAAACCAACGAATTTACAGCGGAATTCCGAGCACGAATGGCTTTATTTCCTGAACCACCATCTACAGAAATGTTTAACCGGCTGTTCGCCGATGTACAGGAGTACATTATGGCTAGGGGACCGCCAGGAAACCAGCAAGCCAGAGAAAGAGCCGCAACGCCAGTCCATAGTTTCCCAGGGAAAACCAAAATCCCATATCAAGCCTTCAAAAGCTATGTGGAGACAGAGGGTGGCGTTGACGACTATTTACAGGATTTCGAGAGACTGTGTTTGCTGCACGAAATTAATGATGCAGACAGAGTACCCCTACTAGCGGGGAGATTATCTGGGCGAGCCGCCGAAGCGTACCGGGCAGTACCAGACGAGGATAGTAGAGACTATGCTAAAGTAAAGCGGGCCATCCTAGCCCGGTATGCCATCACATCAGAGGCATACCGAAAGAAGTTTCGGGACATTAAAAAACCCAGTAAGGACACCCATGTGGAGTGGGCGCACCAGCTACAACGAGCTGCCAAAGGGTGGCTGGAGGCCGCCCAAGTTGATACATTGGAAGGTCTGTTCCAGCTAATGGTACTGGAACAATTTTTCAATGGCGTCCCGGCCTACCTACAAAACTGGATCCGGGACAGAAAGCCACACACCCTGCAGGAAGCGGCTAATATGGCAGACGATTTCCAGGACAATCGGAGAGATCAACCCATACCCACCCGAGCCACCATCCCCCCTACAACGGCCAGCCCTCCAGGGGGCCCCACAACGCACCAGCGACCAGGGGTAAACCAGAATTCCTACCCCCCCAGATATTCAGCACGTCCACCAATCCGGTGCCATACCTGCAACCAACAGGGACACATCCAGAGAGACTGCCCACGGAACCGGCCTCGACCCAGCTGGAATAACGCCGCCCCGAGCAACCGTGCCGCAGTCTACTGTCTCCAGGCCGAATCCTACCAAAATCTGGAGTTGGGGACGACCCGGGAGGAACCCCTCGGTACTCTACACGAGGTGAACCCTATCCAGGCCGCCTCCGATAACCGCCAAGGACACCGCCAGGAAGTACACATGGAAGGGAGGAAAGTACAAGGGCTTCGTGACTCGGGAGCTACCCTAACTCTAGTACGCAGTCATCTGGTACCCAAGCCCAAGCTCACGGGGGACTGTGTGGCTGTACGGGTGGCTGGGGGAGCCATTTACAAAGTACCCACGGCCAAGGTGCACTTGAATTGGGGAGCGGGGCACCGGAATGTATATGTGGGGATGATGCAAGACTTGCCAGCGGATGTGATTTTGGGCAACGATTTGGGGGAGCTGACTTCGGCTTTTGTTCCACAGCCCACCGTACAAGAAGCATACCCAGTTGTGACCCGGCAACAGGCCCGCACCACTGCACCATTCGAACACTCTGAGGCTCAGGTAAGCAATGACCCTCCCCTACCCCCTACCCTGCCCTGGGCCAATTCCATAGAGTTCGGGGCCAAAGTAGCCCTAGATCCTTCGTTACAGGTGTACAAAGACCGCATGGATAAAAATCAAGCTGGGTTAGAGGGGGAAAGATATATCTGGGACAAGGGGCTACTATATCGGCACGCAGAGAAGGTAGTGTCCGGGTCAATACCGTTGCCCATTAAACAGCTAATAGTGCCTCGAAAGTATAGGTTAGAGCTGTTACGCATAGCCCATGATATCCCTCTGTCTGGACAC